CACTGATCCTAAAGCCCTACCTGGTCTCCCTATAAAGAAGCAGGCCTGTCTATAGGCAGAGCGAGGTGGCATGGAGAATTAGTTTGGCCAGCTCAGTGGCTGTGAGCTGGAGGTGTGCAATACTTCAATCTTAAATCTGGACAGTATATTAGGAGCATTTCCTGTGTTCTACATGACAGTTGAACATTTGTCAGAATTATGACCTTGAGGCATGGTAAGATTTGGTAACGTCAAAGTTTTTATTATGTTCAGTACATGCTCTCTAGCAGAAGAAACAGAGTTTAGAAAGAAATAGAGACTTGCAATAAAAAAAGTTGCCTTTAACTGGTGAGATCCTGTAATGTACTGGTTTCCAGCTTGGGCTTTAAGCAAAGGGAGCCTAACCTGAGTTTTATTTGAGGTTCATCAATGAGTAGGTGTATACCCTCATGCAAATTACCTCAACCCTGGGTTCTAACTGTTCTTGTCCATCATCCTTGCCTGAACAACTTGATAAAACACAAATAGTTTTCGCACCCAGGAGAACCTGGTGTGGAACCTCAGTTTGCATTTCTAATGCATTCCTGCAGGATGCCATGCTGCAAGTCTAGGGATAGCACTATGGCCTTAGGCCTTTAGGTCTATTTTCTCATATCTAAGATAGGAATGTATGAAGCTGAATTCTCAAAAGTCATTGAAAGTAGGGCATGCTTTAAGATGCTAACTCCTAATCTTTTATGGTTATCTAGTGCATGAAAAATTTAAATTTTCAAAATTTTGTTTTAAAGGCTGCTGATTAATCTGTTACAATTATAAAACATATCGCCCTGTAGAATGTCCATCCATGTCTAATAAATAAAAAATACACTTGCATATGAAGCTACAATTTATTTTAATGCACACTATTTCAGAACTTGCCAATTCATTTGTTTCCACAAATTTGTCAGCTAATGATTATACCAACTACTTGGGGCTCTGAAGACAGCTTTTAAGAGGATGAATATTGTGGGTGTAAATGTCATAAATAATATGTATCACTAAAGCCCTACTTGGTGGTATATTTTAAAAATGATATAGATATGAATAATGTTTTAAAAACTATTTTTTGAAATATAGTTAGCCTTTAGTTAGTACTGATACATTGTTGGAAAAAGTCAAAATTATAATTTGGAATAATTTTTGAGAAGATTAAAGATGGACTTAGAAGGGGCTCTTTAGGATGAGACATAACAATGTTGATAACTTTCAAATGTCTATCATTTATTGATTATGTTAACTATCCAGAGTCTGAAATGTATTTTGATGAAATGCAGATTATTCGTTGATAGTATGAAATGTAATAAAAAAGGAAAGACTTTTTCTTTTAGTATGTACTAAACATGAAATCAAAGGAAATTGGACAATTTAGTTTTTTTATTAAATTGGATTGTACCTAAAGGTCAGGGCACATGAGAGGACGTAGACTCTATCTGCCATAGCTGAGACTCCTGCAATTATTGGTTATACACTAACTGTTGGGAGAATTAATTATGTGTCCTTTCAATGTTTGGGTTACCTTGAAAAATTCAGTGACCTTTAAATTTATGATACTATATTTTATTCCCAAGATGACATCCTTGTAATAAGCATTGGAAAGTTATTCAGCTTCAGATAGCTTCTATATTCTTCTAGTGACATGTTTATTCACTTTGTTTATGTGCTTGTTCTTGGCCTTTTCCCCTGGATTTTTTTTTTTTTGAGTTATTTTATTTTTTTCCTCTAGGGTATGGTATTTACTATAGGTTAAATATTCTCTTCAAGTTTAGTTCAATTTTTTTTGTATTTCATATGAAAATTTATAAGTTCTAGACACAGAAACCCAAATTTCCTGTTCAAAACCACTTTCTTATGTTCAAAACCGTAGAGAAATTACAATCATTATGTAGATTACTTAGGAAATAGATCTTACTTTTAGAATGTAATTTGTTACCCCTGAAGCTTAAAAAAAAAAAAGGAAGTTCTGGTAGTGTATCATTTTTGAATATTCCCTTGGAATTAACTTTTAAATACTTTATAAACCTTAACTTTTAAATCTATTTTCAGTATAATAAAAGCAATATGCAAAAGTATTTTTTGATCCTGTTGAAATTTCCTAGTTGAATTTCTCTTATTATTTAAGAAGGAAAATATTCTGCTAAGTTTTCATCATTTTATGTGGAGTGAAAGCTTATTTCTGATACTTTGAATTTCTTTCACAGTTGCTTGTTCTTATTAAGATGTTTGTTTAAAGCAAACTTTTATTTAATGATATTTAAAGCACACTTTTCTTCCTTCTCATATTCTTTTTTTGTTTTGTTTTGAGACAGGGTCTTGCTTTGTAGTTCAGGCTGGCTTGAACTGATTGTGTAGCCCAGGCTGGCCTTGAACTTGGGGCAGTACTTCCACCTCAGCCTCTTGACTATTGAGCTACCACACCTGACTTCCTGTTACCTTCTTGTCTGTGTTCTGTGTCCCTGTTATAAAAGTAATGCTAATTGTATCCCTTTTATCAGCAATTGCACAAAATCTGAGCATAAAAATGTGTAACAAGTAAAATATTTTATTGAGGATATTGGTTACTTTAACTTTTACAAACAGTCTAATTTGAATGATTATGATGTAAAATATTAAGGGCAACCCCACACTGCATGGCAGTGCATTGCTCTTCTACTTGTTCCAGGCAAATTATCTACTCAAGTGTCTCTCAAAGGGCAGCATTGATGAATTTGCCAAGTGAGTTTACCATGGCTGAGAGTGTGCCTGACTTTGCAGGTTTTGAAACCTGGTTGCTTAGAACTCCAGGAGCAGACCTGTTGCTTGGAGTAGATTCATATTAATAAATCTCGGGGTCACTTATTAATGTATAAACCAGAATTCTAACTTGGACACTTAGGTTCTCTAAACACTGAATTGTCTTTCTGTGGCCATGCTACAATGCAGACTTCTTTTTGGATGCTGCTAGGTAAGTGTGGAATCAGAATAAGTAATCAAAGTATGATTTAAATGTTTAGCAGGATCAGGCTTAATCAATAGAATGATATTACCTTTAAAATAGGCACTCTGTGTGCTGCAGGATGAGATAAAACTTAATTGTGTATACTGGCATTTTCTTCAGTGAACAGTGATTGGAAGGTAAATCAGTGAACTTCAGTTTTGCCTATTTTTTTCTGACCAATTTATATTCTTTCTAGTTAAAGCTCTCTTTTTATATAGGCTATATTGTTTCTACCAGAGTGCAAACAAATTTTGTTCCCCTGGGAAAAATAGTATCCATTTGGCTCATGCCTTTTTGAATGTTTAATATTTTGCCAAACAATAGAAAATAGTTGAAATATATAAAAGAAACCTGTAATCTTCATTTATATTAGAAAAGCTGCTGTATTAAAATGGTATGTAATTGCCAAAACATAAACCACTTTGGAAAATATTTTAATAATTGCCATAAAAAAGATCTAATTGGAAGTTTCAATGCAAATTTCTAATTTTTATTGTTAGTTAAAATAATTTGTCACTTGTTTCTTTTTTTGTGTGTGATCAATGTGTTTATTTTCCCTTTTAGTGAAATTTAAATTTAAAAATGGAAAACAATGTATTACAGTAAACACACACACCACAGTAAACATAGTTGCTACTTTTATGATGTTTTTACAATTTTTTTCATATAACTTTTTGTTCCAACACTGTTAATCACAAAAATAACCATCTCAGTGACATTTAACAAGTAACAAATTTCAGTTGGTATGCATTCTGTGTTGGGAAACATCACGCAAAGTCACTGCACCTCAGAGCACCAAATAGTTCACGATAAAACTGTGATCATCCTCATGAAGAATGAAACTTTAAAATGTTGAATAACGGATCAGTCAAACACATATCACTTTGCTATACAGCGCATAGCCCATCAAATTAAATTTAGGGACAATTTTATTTTTAATTAAATTATTCTTTTATGATTATTTGTTGAAATGTTCCCCCGCACTCCACCCCAACTATACAAAAATGCATGAACTATTGTTTCTTCAGTATTCACCCAAATGTATTTAAAGAAAAAATGATAAGGATATCTTGTTTTCCTCTTCAAGTATTTCTAGTTCGGAGAATGACACTTTAAGCAAAAACAGAGGAAAAACAAAAATGAATGTGTTATTTAATGACTATATGCTGGGCAAAAGACACAAATCCTCAGCAGAAGTTTGCCTCTTCTAAGGTAAGTCACTCAGAAGTGAGAGGCAAATGAGGTTTCTTTAAATACACAATTTATAAATATGGAAACAGCAATAGCTGCATGATTATTTTACGTTCTTTTAGAAGTGTGGCCCTAAAAACAGACTGACAATTTACATAGCTAAGCAAACTGAACTTTATAAACTTATAATGAATTTTAAGTGGCTGGTACTAAAGTACTGGCTTTGGACTTGAACATATATTCTATAGATGAATAAATCTTTTGGATATCTTGGCTTTTTGATGTTTTACTCTGGTGTTCAAGCAGAAAGTGTATGATTTCATTTTATGCAACACGCTGATCTACAAGTGGAGAATTTGTAGGATAAAGGAAATTCCAAGTTATATATGTGTATGTATATAAATGGATTTATATAATACACATATACAACCACTAAAATAGTTATAGAGACAGTGCAATATAAAACCCCTCAATGTCTGCTTACCGCTGGCCAAATTTGATCTTTAGTCCTTTTCAATAGTGACATAATTTATTTGCTTAAAGGTAAAACCTCGCTGATACAGTGATATTCTACTGCATTAAGGATAATATTCCAGTATCAATCTAGAAGATGAAATAACTATAACAAATATTAAGGTCAGATAGAACAGATTCAACTCAATGAAACTTCATTTTATATTTGATGACAAATTTTTGCTTTCTCCTAGAATCATTTTTACTTCAGTACGAGTGCTACACTAGCTAAAATTTTATTTTTACAAGTGTTAGTTGTATTGAGCTTTTAAACTTGAAATACTTTTTTTTTTTTTTTAAGAAGAATGAATTCAATCTGCAGAGACCTTTTCTACCAGTTTCACTTTCTACTCCATTTTTTTCCCAGTACTTCATTTTCATCCTTTATAATTTCATAGCAAATTATCCAGATTACATCTTCTGGACTAACTAGTGATAGAAATTTCAAATGCTATTTTGAAGAAGTGTAGAGTAAATAATTTTGGTAATCTGTAAGACAGCTGCATGCAGTGTGTACTGTATTATAACAGCACCAAACCCTTTATAAAAACCAAGGACTCCTTCCTCCTGCTTTATGGTATTGATACAGTCTCTCATTCCCTCATACTGTGTATCAATTGGAAGCACTTCATAGCCAAGGTCTGTATTGTCAATTATTGTGCGTGTTCCTTGAATGTGAAGGCGGTGCAAAACTGTTTCCAGCGGGAAGAGTATAACCTCAGAGCAAAGACTGGCAGCAAAGTTAGCAATAAGTTCTGGAAAATAAGCGTCCAACATACTCTGCACAGGGCTACTGCTCTCAGCTAGGTGGCTATTATAAGTCTTTCTCTTTAGGATTAGTAGGACAAACTTCTGAATGATTGAGCTGATGATGTAGTGGAGAACTCCATGCAGCACTGTAGGGAAGATCAAGGAAAGAAGAGGAAGGAACCCTTTGCTGTGAGGCACTCCCAAGCCTATCACCCTTCCGATTCCTTCTTTAACACATTCCAAAATGCCAGTATTGTCTCGAATTATCTCACTCTGTACTGTTTCAATTAGACTTGCCGAATAAAAAGGCATTGCCACAATATAAGTTAGGCTAACCCTTATGGGCCAGGTCCTGGTAAGTAGTGGTTTTCAAGGTGAATGGAACATCACTAAGTAATAATGTGCTAGAATGCCCCGTAGAGGGAGCCAGCAAGCTGGGGGATTTCCAATTCACAATGCTTTCAGTAGAAGGTGTTCACCTATTTGTTTAGGATTCCATTTGTGCGAAACCTCCCTTGGCAAAGGTGTGAATTCACTAATTATGCCTTCAGCTCCAAGTGTGACTCCTTGGACAATGAATGTACTTCCCATTCCTTTCCATAGGGCTCTTGGTCCTTGAGTTTTGTTGAAGCTATACATAATGTTGTTGACTGTAAATGGAGTGAGATGATAATGCCGAGCACGGTAATTAACCTGACATTGGCGGTGTAGAACAATGCAAGGATGGGCCAGTACATTTTCTGTGAAGAGACTTGCAAGTCCAATACCAAATCCAGCAAATCTATTCAACTGTTCACTGCTCTGCCCCTGCACGGCTCCGCCGCTGCCGCCGCCGCTGGGAAAGGGTTCCTCGGCCGGCCGGGCCCTCGTACCGGGTGGAGGTGGAGGGCAAGCTGTAGGGCGGGCTCTTCTCACCCCAGTGCAGGTTGCGGCTGCCCGGGATGTCTGGGGGAGTCGTCACCCAGTGGCCTAGGTCCGACCCGGAGCTGAAGGACCTTGCAGGGAAAGCGACGCCAAAGCCCTGCTCGTCCCGGGCACCACCCCGGTAGCCCAACCCATCGAATCCGTCTGGGCGCCGCTGATGCATCACAACTGGGGCAGGATGAGGCGAGCCCACCCAAAGCCCATCGCCGCGAGGGCCACGGCGACCTAGGGCCTCACAGTTTTCCCTCGTGGGCAGCCGCGTCTCACTTGTTTCTGATTATGAAAGTAAAAGTAATATCCATTATTCCAAGAAAAAATTATAACATATAGAAATGAATACGGAATGGGCTGGGGATGTAGCTCAGTGGCACTGTGCCTGGCTGGCAAGTGCAAGGTCCTGAATTCGATTCCTGGTGCTGAAAAAAACAATGAATACAGACAGAAGTAAAATTCATCCATAAACCTCCTATATAGAGAAATCCTTCATAATATTTTTCTCAAAATATATTACTATATTACTATATTACTATTACTCAAGTATCGTGTGATATTAGTCAGGGTTCTCTAGAGGAATAAAACCAATACGATATCTCCGTCCTTGTACCTGTCTCTTTCTGTCTGCATTCAGGGGAGGGAATATATATATATATATATATGTATATATATATATATATATATATATATATATATATAT